TACATGTTAACATTTTATCTGCAGGTCAACTGAAGGAACATCAAGTGAGGGATCACATAACAGTGCAGGATGCGACGCCGCTGTGTTCTGAAGAACATTTGATCAATAAACCTAAAGTAAGCGGAACTTTTATAAAAATAATTCAAATGAAAACCTTGTCACATTGTCATACAGGTATAAATGTATTCACATATCTTGGCGGCTCTTAATAACGTGCAAGTCGCTATGCAGCAGCACGCCGATGACCTTGGGCCGCTAAGATATTTAAAAGAACTATACTATATTGTTTTGTTCGTGTGTACAGAACAAGGCGCGTCCGCCGGTGAAGGACTCGACAAGTCACGCGATCAGCGATACATATGAGCAGTTGACGCTGGTGCTGCCCGAGGGCCTGCTCTGCCGCGAGTGTGACACACCGCTTGACAGTGACAAACACTTCCTGTATGTACAACTTTGTCTTGTCATGATATATTCATGTTGTCTGTGACATTAAATCAGCAATTGTGAATGTTGATCGGTCGGTAGGCAGATCGGTCCAGTGTGATTTTTCCCCATTGGATTAAATTCATAGAATTAATTGGTTTTTATATTAATCGTATGTTTGCAGTGGTTACACGAAGTGCAGCAAGTGTCCATACGCGACATCGTGTTACCGCGCCATGCTGAACCACAGCGGCTGCTGCGCCGGACCGCACTCGCTGGAGGACGCGCCGCGCGCCGCCCCCCACACCACGCACTGCCTCTGCGGATACAGCACTCACATCGGTCACTATTATATTACAAATATTCATAATATCAGTTACATAAATCAAGAAACGCGATAGAATCTTACTCAAAAAGGGTAATGAAATCTTACAAAGCCTTACTTGGAGATGATAGGTTCAGAAGTAACTAGAATCTCATGTAATGTGAAGAAAACCTATCACTATAGATGTCAGCATGATCAAGATTGAATGTAGCTCCAAAAATATACCACATATACAAAAAACACTTTATTTTATATGCAAAGTATTCTGTAAACTGTGGCTATAGCAATCGCTAGAAAAACGTAAAAAAAAATAACAAATGACAGATTTTTGACGCTAGCGCCATCTACTTAGAGCTTTCAGTTTCATTCCCTATTATTGACGAGGTGTTATGTTTATATGTGATTCAGGTACGGACATGCTGACACATTTGTTAATGTGTGAGCGCAAGACTGCTTACAGCTCGGATGAGGAGGCACGCGCTAACATCGTGAACGCGGAGGAGCAGACGCACAAGCCCGCACCACCAGCCGACACATCGCCTCTTGATACTGTCAGTACTACCAACATTACATACAACTATCTCTGTTTTTTCTCTCTTTTATTGTGAAAGTGTCCATAATATACACCGACAAAGATACCTGACCCGGTGAGAAAAAGTCAAACTTTAGTGTAACAGCTCACTAGCGCCCCCCTATCAATATCACAAGATCCTCTTTGTCCTGTAGATATTGCATTTTCTTACTTCTATATCTAAATATATAATTTCTATATCATGTTTTACCTATTTTCTGACAGAATTAATTGCGATAGCGCCACTCTTACTTGCCCAGCTATCCTAGTTTGAGTACATATTCTGTAATGGAAACTCGTGGTATCTGACCGTCGCGTAATAGTGTGTGTTATGTTATCAGCCATTGGAGAGCCTGTCATCGATGTCAGACTACGCGCCGCCGTCCGTGCTCAACACGCAGCTGTCGCTTGACGACCTCGCTCCACCCTCTGTACTGCAGCCTGACCAGGTCACACCAAATACATTTTGATAACACTACAACTTTATAAAAATGAATAAAAAATTTAGGAAATTCTGCTCTTGGTTAGAAATGTATGAATGTGTTATTACTGTTTTTTTTTTAATAAAAAGAATAATTATAACTAACGCCATTACACTCGCACTTATGAGTTGTTAATTCGCTCTTAAGGGGTTCTCTTAGTGTACACTTTTATACTAAATATACATTAAGGGTGACCATTGAACGCTTTAGTGCGGCTTAAAAATGTTGGAATAATATTGCAGCATGAGCCGGAACGTCTGGCGGACGCGTACGACCGGCCGCTGGCGACACCGCGCCGTGAGGAGCCCCACTACACGCTGGGGGACTTTGAGCCGCTGCCACAGGAGCCCCCGCCACAGCCTGACTTTGAACAACTCTAAAATTCAACATTGAACTACTCTGCAGCAAACATCTCTTTCATTCCTTGTGATAAAACAGAGACGGACATAGAATTCCACTGTCTTTAGATTGGTGATCACTGTATTAAAAATTTTGGATAATTGGCATTACTCCACTGAACATACTAAAATTATGTCATTTAATTTGTCATCTTCCTTTACAATATATAGCTATGGTTAGTTGGGCTCATAGATTTTTTAATTTACAATTTATTACATATCTTATGTAACTTCATATTTTTTGTCATAATTTTATCTTTATTTCTTCTACTGTAACATTATGTTAGAAATAAATATTTTCATTTGATTACTGAAGCCAAGGTAGAGATTTAGTTTGTAGGTATAGATTATTTTATATTATTTTTTTAAATGCATAATTGCATTCATCAGATATATAATAAAGTTGCTGGGTACAAGGCGAGTTTAACCTAATTCAGATCTAAAATATATTTAGTTTTTTGCCTATTGGTTATAGGAATTGTTCTACAAAGTAGATTAGTAGAAATGGCAAAAAAGTGGAGAATATGTTTGTTAAGATATAACAATCTTATTTTATTTTACAAATGTAACAATTATATAATAACAATGAAATAATCAGCTTCAATATTATGTTTTAACTAACAATAAACATGTTTTAAGAATAAATTGTATTTTTTATTTTTTTCCTTCTTTTTTTGAATGTCAATGTAGTTTTGTTGGTAACACCGTAATCTTCAATTGGGTTTGCATTATTGTCCAGTATTATACCATCAAAACTTAAATTGTAAGTCTTCCAAATATATTTCCATGATATTTTCACTTTGCTGCCAGTCCTTTTTTGATGTATTTCAAAATGTCTGGCAATTGCCTTCTTTAGATCACCAACACTTGCCGTTTGTGGTACCTGTAATTTGTAATATAAGCAATATATCTAAATTAAAAATTAAAAATAATAAATGTTATAAAAAAAAGATTTCTGAATGTATAATCAGAAAAGATTCTTGTTTTTTAAGTAGTATCAGCTGATGTTGCAAAGTAGAACACTTACAATCACTTTTAATGCTGGTTCATCTTCTCTGGAGATAAAAATCCTTATTGACTGACCATGCTCCACTGCTATCTATAAAATATTTTTAATTCGCATATTTGTCAATTTTTTTTTTTATATTACCAATTATCCAACAGTATTGAAACATTTCTTTATAGAAAGAATTAAACATGAAATTGGTCAATAACACACTGGCTAAAATTATTTAAAAAAAATCTTAATACCTGTGACAGTATTTCTTCTATAATAATGTCTGATGGTAAATCACATAATAATGAATCATAATTTAACAGTTTGAAAAGAGAGGACTCGGTAATTTCAAGTAGTTCATCATGTGACACGCTGTGTGCAACATCATCAATTTCATCCATATCAAAGATTTCTTTTTAAAAATACTTAATTCGTCTAAGATGAAATAAATGACATGTTTACATTAGAAAGACATATTAATTATAGCGTTTTTATAAAAAAATCACAAGCTAAGACAAAAAATAAAATAACACATTAGCAATATTATCAAAACATATCACAGAGATTATAGGTGCAGAAAAGTTGACAGTGAAGTTTCTGTATAAATGATAATTTATGGGACTCTTCGTAGGGATAAAAGGCAGGTTGATAATGATTTATTAAATTAAGGTCACAGATTGACGCAGAAAAATTATATCAATAATTTATTTTATGTTTGTTAATGTTTTGAATTTCTATTTGTCATTTTGACATCAATTGTCAATGTATGCTTGACAATGTCATTTGTTACGAGCAAAAGGCAAAGGATTATAGCCAGATGCCAGATAGATGTCTTCAAAAAAACTTTGAAATTGGACATCGACCTTAATAAGGCTTCATTGCAGCTTATGAAGAAAGGCACTGATACATTATGACTGTAACTAGACTGGAACGGCTCTGTCTGGAAGCAAGAACGAAAAAGAATAGTAGACTAGTTTTAACACTACGCTTATAAAATTCCCATAAATTGGTGATGTGAAAGTATCGTTATTGTTGCGTGAGGGTATACTTATATTTACAATATTCTAAATTAGACATTACTGTGGTTTTGCATTTTCACAACATTTTTAATCTATATCCAACACAATTATTTTTTAATATTTTATACTCTCTGGTCAATTTTGACACTGAATTGAATTGAGGTTAGAAAAATTACTGGGCTACTGAGCTGGTTTTGAAAATTAAATAAAGTACAAAGATAATAAGAAAATATATTTAACTGGTAATAAGGAAAATCATCAATTAAACATGGATTCTCTATCTTCTGGATCATTGAGTGGTGTACAAAAAGAGGAGCTTATGGACCAAGTCAAGCAACAAATAGCAATAGCTAATGCTCAAGAGCTTCTTACGAAAATGTCTGAAAAGTGTTTTAAAAAATGTATCGGCAAACCTGGTACAGCTTTGGATAGCTCGGAGCAAAAATGTATTGCGATGTGCATGGACCGGTACATGGACGCATGGAACCTTGTCTCACGGACTTACAGCACTCGTATTCAACGAGAAAGAAATAATATGTGAATTTATAAGGCATTTACATGGTGATGACTCTAAGCAGTTCTGTAAATAGAGAGGAATAGTACTTTCTGGGCAATATTCACTTGTGAGTTAAATGCAACTGGTTGTTTGTTGTGTTATATAATAAAATAATATAGTTTGAGTTTTCTATAATCTTTTATTGAAAACGTTTTGACATGATATGCGCTTGAAGCAAAATTTTTGCTTTATCAGAAATACTTGAAGTAATTAGACAACTGTGACATTGAACAAGCCATTAAAATTGTTAAACATCACTATGGTTTTGTATCATTTTTACAAAAAGAATTTTAAAAATTTAATTTTACAATAAATTAAAACACAATTAGTGTTGTGAATCAAAAAATATAATTTATTTATTACAGATTGTTTCTAATTTTTTCACACCACACTGACAGTATCTTCCAAAGATTTTAAGGAAAATTGACACAAAATGTTAGACGTTAAATTTCACCTTTTAACATTTTTTTTCTATACTGATAAAGTTTTTTCACCCACATTTCTTTGAGTTCTTCTTCACTTGGTATTTCCTAAAATATAAAGTACAACTTTAGTTCTCTATTATACTAAAGGTAAATATTGTGTATATTTTACAATGAAAAAATCTTCAGGTCTATAGGATAATTTCTAGGTAAGTTCCTAAACTGGGGTTGTTTATAAAATTTGAATAATTGTTTGCAGAAAAGGTGCCTTCCGAAAACCTTATAAGTATGACCAGTTTTACATTTTAGTATGAAAAAATATGTTAAGTTTGGATTTAAAAAAGATTGTCAGATTCTATTTTGGGTGACTTTTAAAATGAGGTAAAATGTATAGAAATAAAATAAACATTAAAAAAGTGCTAGTTTTGGAATATTTTGGCAGTTCAAGGTCATTGACATGCTCTGCGGTGCCCTACGCCAGATACTGTACCCCGCTACCTATAAAATGGTTTCCTGTGCAGCAACTTGTGTGAAGTAAATAGCTATCAAGATAACTGATATGTTACTATTGAATATATCTTACTAATATAATAAATGCAAAAGATTAGGCATATGGATGTTTGTTAGAAGGTATCTTCAGAGCGGCTGCATGTATATAGCTGAAATTTGGCACAGATGTAGAATATAGCCAGAAAGTGCACACAGGTTAATTACACTTTTAATTCCACACAGGTGTAGTTGCAGGCGACAGCTAGTCTATTATAAGACTAAATGACAATAGATTTACTTAGATGACCATAAATGTAAAATAAACTCACATTAAAATTTATAATTGAATCATCATTGTCCAATTTAATTTCCACTTCTGGAACTTTAACTGTATCTGAATTCAAATCAATCACTATGTTCTGGGATTGCTTTTTATTTTTCGTAGATGTAAATGACTTGGGAATGAAACTGTCACTGTTTAATTCTGCTAATAAATTTCTGTCATGTATTGTTGGCATGTCCTCTTTAATTTCTATATTTTTATAGTTGTAAGTTGGTATCTTTGTCATAGTTAAACCAAGAGATTCTGCAGCTTTTATTGCTTTTTCCACTTTTATTTCTGTGTCATCTAGGTTTGGTCTTCTTGAGGATAGACTTGGGTGTTCTGAAAATAATTTAAAATGTACATTTTAGTAAATATAAATTATTAAGATACTGTTGTTTATTTTGCAAATAATAAAAACTGACTTATAACATTGTGTATAGCTACAGTCAAACAATGCTTACAAAATGTAGCAATTGCTACTTCTTTTATCAAACAAATATATAACAAACAAAACCCTTACAATTAATAGAAATATACGAATTTCTACAAAAAAATTATGAAATTACCTGATTCATAAGAGCTTCGACTGCTTGACGATTGAGATCTCTTATGTTTTTTACTACTTTTGCTGTACTTAGATCTACTTCGTGAACTTGATCTTGACCGGGAATATTCTTTAGACGGAGATCGTTTCGACCGTTTGGCTTTGGATCTCGACGAGGATCTTCTTTTGGACTTTGTCTCGTAACGTTCCTTGGAAGGACTTCGAGAGTAGCTTCGGCGTTTATATTTTGATCGTGAAGTCGATCGTTTTCTTCTATGACTGCTAGACTCCGAACGACCTCTTGAACGTGAACGTTTTTTATGTTTAGATTTAGGCTTTTTTCTTTCATATGACTCTTCAGAACTAGAGGAGGAACTACGTTTGTCCCGATATCGACTCTTTTCTCGTGGCATAGTAATATGATCCGGGATACGCTATATGCAACTATTTTTAATTCCAAATCAACAAAAAAATATTGAAATTAAGACAAAATTTACATAAAATCATGAAACTAAAATCGCACGACATTTTGACGTTTGTTGTACGTACGCCAGTGTTTCCAACAACTACGAACATGATATAGCTCACCATATAATCGAGGTGGGCTGAAGGTAATCTGAATAAGTAAAAGCGTAGTTTTTAATCATGTTTTAAAAGTGTTTCTTTTTATAAGCAAATTTTTGTATTAATTTAATGTCATTAACAAAAACCAAAAGAACATTGTACAGGGTACTTGCCCCTCAATTATTCTAAAAGGGGACCAGTCACCATGTCGAGTAGCCTAAACTAATAGACGACAAATCACCTACGTTGGCAACACCACGGACGCTCAACGTTTGGTTTGTGCTGTCAACAAGTCGATAGTTACACAGACTGCATTTTTTCACTAAAAATAATCAGCAAGTATTCATTATTTAATTACTTTATGTAATTTTATTAAAATTTTCATTAAATTTATTAAACAAAACGTACATGCATGTGTAGTTTCATAACGCTTTTAAAGTGAAAATCCCAAAGCATAATTGACAAGTAAACAAATTTGCGTTAAACGGAAAACATCTTAGGGCAGCGACCAGTTATAGTCGGCCTCGATGACGGAATGTGTGAAATTATAAGATGGTGATGAGCAGTGTTTTCTCAATTGTAGATTAAGTATCAATTATAGGTGCTATAGTTTAATACAGAAATAATTGAAATGCGTCCAACGTTGTGATTGAATAAACCTTAAAAATATATTTTGTGTAGTGCACTTGCAAGTGTTGAGCGTGTTTAGTTGGATCATTGACATTGTTTCTTGAGAAAATTTTGAACTCGTCGCGTTTGATATGTTTATGCTTGCATTGTGTACCTTTAGTAGACCCAGCAAATGGATTAAACGTTTCTGATGTTTTCAAACCTATGGAGAGGCAGGAGCGAACATATGCCAACATGGAGGCCACAGATACTGTGGACACCAAACAGGTGAGGCCGATATCATTATAATTGCCGGTTGATCGCAGTTTCACTTCTCTGCGCACATGGTCTTTAGTCAAAAATTATATTAATTCGTGACTAAAGTTGTTTAAAAATATAAACATCATTCTTAAATTATTTTGTTAATCAAAGCCAACTTTACATCATTTCGATAACATGTAATGATTTACAAAAAATAATCGTTAAAAACGATATTTAAATAATTTCATTCAATTAATATTAAATTGTATTGTCTGAATCATTAAATAAAACCAAGGTGGAGTGTGGGTGAAGTAGACTGCATCCCACACTGAGGCAGAATAAATTATCAGCATTAGAACATTGTTATGAGCCATACATGTCAAATGGTATGTGTGGGGCCTCCTTTTGTCCATGCACCTTATGTGGCTGTTTATAATTGGCTTTCTATAAAAAAGAGACAAATTATGTGTTGATAAACTTATCAATAATTTTTACTTATTTGTTGTTATGTATTTTAAAATTTTAAAGCTCCTGCAATTTGATAATAAAATAACTGCATTTGTTTTTTATAAATATTGCCACATACAATTTCAGTTATTTTTAAATAAACAAAGACTACATTCATCTGACAATTTATTGTGATTGATAAACTATTTTTGTTTACATTTATAGATACGGAAATAAATGTAACTGTTATTTCAACAATATTAACTAATGTTAGGTGAACCGCTTGTTTGTCTCCTTCTCTTATAAAAAAGAAGACTAAAAG